AATAAATTTGATTTTATTTTTAATATTATATATATAGTCTTAATAAAACTTATTTTAGAAGATTATATAGAAGAACTTTAATACTTAATTATCTTATTAAAATAATTTAATATTATTCTAGAAATATTATAACTAGAATAGTATAATTCTTATATATTTTTTAGATTTAAAATTATTATACTTAATTTAGATTATTATATATTTAACTATTTATTATATAATAAACTTATTATTATCTAGAGTAATAATAAATTTTTAAAAAAGAACTTAAATTATATAGTAAAGATTATATTTAAAAAAAAGAATATAGTAAAGATTTTTATCTATATCTTTATTAAGATAATTAAAAAATTAGAGAATTAAGTTATTACTATATAATCTTAAAACTTTAAATAACTTTCTAAATTTATTAATAAGAAAGCGAAGTTTACTATTAACGTCGTCGCTATTATAATAGAAGATTATAAAAAATTCTTTTATAAGCTAAGAAAGAAGTCTTCGATTATAGAATAGCTATAGAAATAAGTTTCTATAGTATATTATAAATAGCTAGATATTTAGAATTTCATTAAAGCTAATAAACTTTTTATTTATCACTTTATCGACTATAAAATATATCTTAAAAAAGAAGCTATTTTACAATTAAAGAGGGCTTATAGACTTTTTAGAGATTAGATATTAATTATAAAGAAATATATCGATAAAATATTAGAAAAAGATTATATTAAATTAAGTACTTCTCTCTATATAATATTTATTCTAATTATAAAGAAACTCGATAGAGGACTTAGACTATATATAAACTATAAAGCTTTAAACGCACTTACTATTTTTAATCAAAATACTCTCTTATTAATTAAAAAGATTCTCGCTAAACTATACGCGGCGAAGATATATAATAAATTCGATATTATAGTTACTTTTAACGAGATTAGAGTAAAAAAGAATTATAAGAAAAAAATCGTATTTCTTACTTAATATAGTCTATTCGAATATATAATAATATCTTTCAAATTATATAATATCCTTATTACTTTTTAAATATTTATTAATAATATCTTACGCGAATATCTAAATATATTTTATATTATCTATTTAGACGATATTCTTATCTATAGTAATATTAAAGATAAATATATTTAATACGTAGAAAAGATATTAGAGAAACTTTAATAAGCTAGTCTCTATCTTAATATTAATAAATATAATTTCTATATTATTAGAGTTAAATATCTAGAATTAATTATTACTACGAAAGAAGTAGAAATAAATATAAAAAAAATTAAGGCTATTACTTAATAAAAGAAATCTAGATATATTAAAGATATATAAGTATTTCTAGAATTCGCTAATTTCTATTAAAAGTTTATTATAAAGTACTCTAAAATCGTCGTATTTTTAACGAATCTTACTTATACTTAATAGAAGAAAGATTTTATCTATTTATAGACTTAAGAGTATCTTAAATAACTCGCTTTCGAAATACTTAAGAAAGCTTTTACTACTATCTCTATACTTATTTATTTTAATTTAAATAAAAAGACTTAGCTAGAAATAAACGCGTCTAATTTTATAATTATTACTATTTTATTATAAGAAAATAAAGATAAAATACTTAGATCTATAGTATTTCTCTTTAAAAAAATATCTTCTATAGAATATAATTATAATATCTATAATAAAGAACTTATAGCTATAATATAGATCTTTAAGAAATAATATTTTAAGTTAACTAATACTTCTATCGAGGATTCTATTAAAATTATTTTAGATTATAAGATTTTATAATATTTTATATTTTTTAAATAATTTAACTTTTATTAAGTAAGATAGACGAAGTTTCTCTTTAAATTTAATTTTTATATTATTTATCGCTTAGGGAAATAAAGTATTAAATCTAATAATCTTACTCGACGAGTAGAAGATCTATTTAAAAATAAGGATAACGATTATATTTATTATTAATATTATATAATTCTTAAAGATAATAATCTTAATAAAGATATTAAGAATATTATATATTTTACTATTATACTATTAGATAATATAAAAGAAAATATTATCTCTTTAACTATAATACTATATAAACTTAGCGAATAAGATAATATTAATAATAAAAAGTCTAATAAAGAATTATTATTAAGAGTCTCGATAGAGATTTCTTAAGAGAAGTTTTTAGAAGAATTAAGAGAAGTCTCTACTACTAATACTTCTAAGTTATTATATTAAATAAAGAATATTTATAATTATAATAATATCGCTTAAAGAATTATTTAGTTAAAGGTATTTAAATAGAGAAAGTTATTATTTAAAATAATTAAGAATAATCTTAAGTTGAAATTAGATAATTATTATTTTTATAATAGATTATTATATATTAATAATAGACTATATATATCGAATATTTTCGAATTACGAATTAAAATCATTAGAGATATTTATAACTCTTTACTCGAAGATTATATTAATAAATTATTAATCTA